AGCTTGCATTTCACTTCTTCAAATTCGGGAATGTGTAACCTAAAAACATGTATTTTGCAGTGTAAAAAAATTTACATTGCAGTGTAAATTTTTTACTATACAAAGTAAATTAATTTACACTTTTTTTTTACGTAAATTTTTTCGTAAATTTGAAGTGTAAACCAAGCTTTGTTTAGTAAATTGCTCGCCACCTAAAATTAGGTAAACAGCAGGGTCAGGGTACCTCGTCTGCGATGAGCCAGCGCCAGTAAGCCATGCGCCGCGCTGTCTGCGGGCTGCAGGTCGTCTCCAGGCAGTCTCTGTCTTTGCTGAGGCCGCAGGCCGTGTGGAGTGTTTCGCCCTCGATGTCTGCGGCGTTGGTGGCCTGGAAGGCGGCGAACTGGTAGTCGATGCCCTGCTCGTAGCCGAGGAGCTCCTCGAAGAGCTTGCGCACGTACTTCAGCACGTGGGTCTTGCCGGTGCCTGGACGGCCGTGTAGCAGCCAGACCAGCGGTTCCTCACTGCGTCTGAGTGTGTTCTCTGGTGGCACTAGGTTGTACTCCACCAGCACGCGCTCTACGACGAGTTTGAGGAATTCGTGCTGCTCCGCGTTCATCGTGCTTCGCACTTCGTTGCTCTCGAGCCACGCCCAGAGCTGGACGTTGCTGATCTTGGCGGTGCGCTTCGTGGTGGCCCGGCGGCTTCCGGCTAGGCCGGGCGCGTCTGCCGGCGTTTCTGCCTCTCTCTTGTTGCGCGAGGCTTCCGCATCTGCCAGCATGCGTGTGGCGTCGTCGACCCCCGTGCTTGCTTTGGCGTCTTCCAGGAGTTGCTCGGCCATTTCGCGCGGCATGTCGGATGCCGTGGAGGCTTCGCCCAGCCAGACGTTGTGGGAGAGGTTCAGCATTTGCACGGTGAGGTCGTGCTGGGTGCTTGTGGCGGGCGGCTCCTCTGCTTGGTTGGGCGGTGCCTCCTCTTCGGCGCCCGCAGCCCCTTGCTTGCCTGCGCCCCGCACGTGTGTCTTGCTGGCTTCCTGCAGCTCGTCTGCGTCGAAGTTGTAGATTTGGTCCTGGAGATCTTCGTTGTCGCTGTTGGCTGCCAGTTCCATGTCGGGCTGTAGGTCTCGGGGCAGGCTGAACACGAAGGCGTAGTTCAGGACGTAGCGCTTCAGCTCCTCGGTGGGGAAGCCCCCGGCGTGCTTCCACGCGCATTGCAGCGCCTGGCGCCAGCTGCTCATGTCCGTCGTGCGGAGGTGGCCGACGTACGGGACGGCTTCGGTGGCCTCGTGTGGGTTGCTGGTCCAGGGACAGAAGAGCAGCAGGATCTTCATGATGTGCTCCTCCTCGCTGCGGCTGCCGAGCGCACCGTAGAGGACCGGCACGTGCGGCCGCTTGCGTGGGACGATGACCCAGTCGTGGCGATGCTTCCGCACGCGGTTGCCGTTGCCCAGCGGCATCCAGTTTTCCCCGCCTTGTTCTCGGATCAGGTAGTCCGTGCCGCCCTGCAGAAGTCGACGTCCGAGTTTCTTGCCGAGCTTCTCCTTGCCTTTGTCCGTCAGCAGGGCGTGGTAGGCGATGTCGTTGTCGGCGGCTGCTTCGCGATCAGCGGCGGCGGCCTCCTCCTGCTGCTTTAGGGACCATGGATACCTGACTGGCTGGATGTGGTAGTACCGCGCGAACTCGAAGGCCGAGAGGGGCTGCACTCTGGGGTCCGTGCCGCGGTTGCCGTAGACGGTCCACAGCTGTGGCTGGGCGACGAGCTTCCTTTTGCTTTTGTTGCCGGGTCTGTCGACCCACCCACTGAGGTCGCTCTGGATCTTTGCGCGCTCTGTCGGCAGCGGCCGGCCCTCGGTGGCGGCTTGCATGAGCTCGAGGCCCATCTGGAGGGACATATCCGCGAGTGCTGCGGTCTTGATGGCTTCCGCGGCGGTGGGGTCGCTGTGGCCGGCGTTGTCGATGAGGTTGGTGCACTCCACGGAGCCTCGGACCACGCCCCGGGCGAAGGCGTCCGTCATGAGGCGCTTCGAGGCCCTGGCTCCCACGTAGCCGGCGGAGGAGTTGTCCCGCAGTTCTGTCTCCAGGTCCTTGTGGCTCTTGTTCCACTCTTGGACCTCGTTGACCGCGATGGGGTTCCGCTTGTTCTGGTAGTCGCATGCATAGCCCGCCTGCGCCGCTTGGTTCAGCTGGGCCTGGTAGGTCATCTCCCGCAGGCTGCTCTTCGTCGGGCAGTCTCGCGTGCAGCGGCCGGCGGCGTCGTGCAGGTCCTCGGTGATCGGGAAGCGGTAGGGCAGCTGGACGTCGCCGTTGCAGCGCAGGGCGGCCAGCAGCGCGGGGTGGTTGCCGTTGAGGTTCGGGTCGTTGCAAGGCCCCCAGAGACGGCCGAGGGCGCTGCGCTTGCCCTTGACCGGCATGCCCATCTTTTCTGCGAGTCCCTCGCACACGAGTGTCGTGCTGTCCACCAGCTGCTTCTCGCGAGGGAAGCCTGCCTTGCACTTCGTGGGGTCTTTCTTGTCGCGGCAGTGGTCGAGCGGCAGCCGCGGACCGTTCGTCGTCTTGGGGAGGTGCACGTGATGTTGCTTCAGCTGCTGCAGGGCCTCCACGTCCTCGTCGAGATAGAGCCGTCGCCAGGTCGTGGCGTCCGTGGACGCGTCTGTGCTCTGGTAGTGCGGGCGGCTCAGGGCCAGGTAGGAGTCGCGGTAGGCGGGCCACTGCTCCTCCGTTTCCGGGCGCTTCTTCTCCCAGGTTTGCGGGTCCCGGTAGATGGTGCGGCTGACGTGGGCCGTGTAGGTGCAGTACTTCTGGAAGAGTTCTTGCTTGCGTGCGGGACCCAGGGCCTGCAGCTCCGCGAGGGACTTGAACTGGTGGAAGCACTGGAGGAAGAGCTGCACAGGGGGCGGCGGTGGCTTCGGTGTCGCATGGCCTTTCTTTGGTTGTCTCTCATGACTGTGCCGGCGTGCCTGGAAGTGGACGTGCAGCACCCCGGACTTCTGGCTTTCGATGGACCCGAACGCGGCGTCGATGCGGCCGAAGATCCCGCCGCAGGCCATGGCGTTGCTGCCGAAGGCGTCCGCGCAGGGTGTTTTGGACTTGCTGCAATTCGGGCACTGGGGGCAGTAGCGGACGCCGAAGAGGTGGCGCAGCGCGAGCTGCACGAGGGTGCGGAAGCCGTCGGCGCAGGCCACGGGATCCTTGGTGAGCATGGCCCGGCGAGCGTCGTAGGGCGGCAGCTCGGCGGCGAGGGCTTCTGGGTTGAGGCTGTAGAACTCCACGTCCAGCTCCGGCTTGCTGCGCCCCTGGGCTCCTCGGGTGGTGGTGTCCTCTGGGCCGAGGCTGGGGTCGGACTGCCGGGCGCGGGCCAGGCGCAGCATCACCGTGCTGTCGCGCTCTGAGGGGGAGAAGGTCACGAAGATCGGGGTGCCGTGGCATATCCGATTGGCGTGGGTTTGGAGGCGCATGGTCTTGCGCACCTCGTGCGTGCCCGGGATGTTTCGACTGCGCGCCTCCGTGTTGTCCAGGACCTGGCACCGCTGTCGGGCTTGCTTTGGGCACTCGTTGTAACCTGGCTCTTGGTAGCTTGCCTGCTCCGAGTGTGGCCTTCTACGGCGCGCGTCACGGCACTTGCTTGCTCTCTACGGGTTTTCAGGCGGCGAAGGATGGGAGGCTTGCACTGCGGGTGGGTCCGTGCTTTATATAGGATTTTCTTTGCGCGAGCTTCGAGCCTTCAGGGCTGCTTCTGAGAGCCCTGGGACGAAGCGTAGTTTGGTGAGGTCTCCGTTGATGGGCTTCAGCTGGTTGTTGATGTCGAGGTACTGGCCTCTGAGGAGCTTTTGCTGGATCTGCTTTTGCCCCTCCAGGATCTCCTTGGTGGTCAGGGCCCTGCTCTCGTGGTTCTCGTCGGCGACGCTGTAGATGAAGGCGTTCCCCTGGGTGTTCACCATGGTCCTGAAGAGGTAGTTCCAGAGGGTGAAGCCGAAGCTCCAGTCTCGCCTGAATTGGGTTTCTGCCCGGCGCTGCATGGCTGTTGCCCATTCGAAGATCTGCACTTGGGGGGCCTCCGGGTTCTTGTCTCGGCGGCGTCCTTGCGCTGACGCCCGGTTGCCGGCTGTGCTGTTGCTGTTCTGGACGTCCGGACAGGCGGTGCCGTGGGCGAAGCAGAAGCTGAAGGCCGTGGCGAAGTAGAGCGGCTGGAACTGGTCCACCAAGATGTTGCCGGTGCGCACCTCCATGGTCTCGAGGACCTTCTCGTTCTCTTCGTTGCTGCGGAGCTGGGTTTGGAGGTCGTTGAGTGCGGCCGTGGCCACGGCGTTCTGGTCCTCGCGGTCCGTGCTGCAGCCTTCCGGCACGACGGCCCGGGCTCGCTGGTCGGCGAAGATGGCGCCGGCCCGCTGCATGTCCTGCTCCGGCGCGTCCGTCGGGGCGGCGGCCTTCTGCGGCTGCAGCTTGTGGGCGGTCTCGTCGTCCTCGCTCAGGCCGGAAATGATCTTGAGTACTTCCGGCGGCACGCCGCCCTCTGGCAGCTGTGATGCTGCCTCCCGCACATCCGCCATGCGCAGGTGCTGGAACGCGGGATGCCCGAGGCGCTGCATGTCGTGGATGAGGTTCACGACTACGTCTCTCCGCACGGTGGCCTGGTGGAGCAGCGTCTTGATCTCGGTCTCGCTCGTCTTGCCCGTTTTGTTCGTCTTGAGGAGCACCCTCGCGACCTCGGCGAGCGCCTTGCCTGTGCGCGGCAGGCTGGGGGGTGCTGCCGCTCCCGCTTGGTCCTGCTCCGCAACTTCTGCGTGGTGTGCCTCTAGGTTGCGCAGGAGGTCTTCCCATGGGAGGGGAAAGGTGAGGGCGTTGCCGCGCGCGCCCAGGCGGTGACGGGCGTTCTGGGCTTTTTCGTCTAAGGTGGTCCCTTCGCTGCGGTGCCGCGCTTCCATGGACATGCACACCAGGGTCGTCACGCAGGGGCTTGCGCAGATCATTTCCATCACTGTGACCTTCTCTGCGTGCAGGCGCGCCGGGGAGTAGCCTGTCCACATGTCATTGCACAAGCTCAGGGGCGGCAGCTGGCCGTTGTCCAAGTGTTGCGCGCAGTCGCGGCAGAGGGGCACCTCGCAGTGCTCGCAGAGCGTGTGCTGGCTTGGGTGCTGGGGATTGGCGTGGCAGCGGTGGTCTTCTGGGCAGCAGAGTATGTCGCCGAGCCCGGGGATGGTCACGGTCCACTCGTTCAGCTCGGCCACGTCGGTGAGCTTGACGTCCCCGGCGAGGTCGCCGTAGAGCCCCAGGTACTTGTCGATGCTCAGGATGTCGTGCAGACGTTCGGTTGTCTCGGCGTGGGTCCTGTCGTTGCTGGGGGGACCCTGGATGAGCCTGCGCCAGCGGATGGGGCCCGCGGCCTCGGCGTCGGCCACGCGTGTGTGGATGCATGCGCAGCAGAAGCAAATGATCGCTTCCACCCTGTCTTTGCTGGTGGCTTCGGCGAAGCTCCGCAGCGCGCTTCTGTCCCGCGAGCTTCCTGCCACGGGTGCGGCCTCTCTGCACCGCAGGGCTATGGCTTCGTTGTAGACGCTGGCCAGTGCATCGGCCGGGATTGGCTTGGGTAGGTGCTGTGCGACGCTCTGCAGTGCTGTTGCGTGCTCTTGCTGGACGTGCTCTCGAAGCTCTTGCTCGGTGCCCGTAAGCAATGACCAGTTGCAGCTCTGGAAGGCGCAGAACTGTCCTGGCCAGGGTTCCCCACGGTCGAGGTCTTCGGGCCTGGCTCCGGGCGGTATCAGCGGCTGGGCTCGCAGCTGGGTGTGTGCGAGGTGCCGGAGAGCCTCTTCCAGTTTCCGCCGGGGGTGGCTGCTGTCCGGCGCCACGGGCATGCTGGTGAGCTCTTCCAGGAGGTTGGGCTCGTCCTGTGCCTCTGGCTCGGGCGGTCGTGTCGTTGGCTTCGACGGCGTCTTGCGCGCCTGGGCCTGTTGATGGGCCTCCTCTCCGCCGGCGGCGGTTCTTCTGCGCTTGGCTGGGCGCGGAATCGGGTGGTGGTGGTGGTGGTGGTGGTGGTGGCAGTGGTGGTGCTGGTGGCGGTGCTCGGTCTATGGGCACCAGCAGGTCGTAGTGGTCCCTGCCGTTGTACCAGAGATGGATCACTTCCGTGGCGTTCGGTGCTGCGTGCGGCCCGCGTTGGGCTGCTTCGTCCACGTCCGAGTGCGTGCGCTCGCTCGTGAGGATGTCGCCGTTTGGCGTCCGCCAGTGCAAAAGGACTCGCTGCTGCCTCATGCGGGTGAAAGCGATGATGGCCGTGTCGCCGCCCCAGTGACCCGGATCGCTTTGGAGGTATTGGCTTTCCTGTAGCCAGGCCTGCACTTGCTCTTCGTCTTCTTCGGCTTCTGCGTTCTCTCTGAGGTACTGGATGATTAGGGCTCGGAGGCATGCCCCGCTCTCGCCGGTGTTCTCTCCGAGCGCGTGGAAGAGGCAGTTGCCGTCGCCTGACATCTTCTTGATGGCCAGCGTGCCCCGAAAGTGCTCCTCTCGGGTGCATTGTCTGCTTGCCTAAAGAGCGCTCTTGAGAGTGGATGCTCGAGGGAAAACGCCGGCCTCGACGCTGGGTCCGGGCTCCGTGTCGTGGTCGGAGCCCGCCTCGGCCCCCCCTCGTCGCGCGGCCGGTCCTTCGTGAGATGGTTCAGCGGCATTCCTTGCGAGCTTTGCCGCTTCCACGGCTTCGTTTCTTGGCGGTGTTGCCTCGGCGGCTCTGTCGGCCTGTGCACACAGTGGGACTAGACGCTTGCCGGGGGAGGTGTTGTGCGCCTTTGGGGTGTAGCTTCTCTCCGGTGCCTCTGCTCGCTGGAAAGCACGATCCAGGGCTCTCTCGTCGTCGGCCGTCCATCGTGGCTGGCGCGGCAGTGGCTTTTTGGGGGCCTGCAGGTCACGATGCCGCGTACGGCTTGCTTTCTTTTTTCTATGGCTTTTCTCGTGGCACAAGTCCTTACTTGCATTCCGGCCGTGATGCCTTCTTCCGTCGGGGTGTTCTTGGCTTCGCGCCGGAGGGCGGGGTCGTGTCCCGTCGAGGTGCGGTTGTCGGGGAGGTTTTCCAGGCCTCGTGCGTGCATGCCCGTGTGCTTTCCTGGGATTTCTGAGGGCGACGGCACGAGGTGTCAGCGCGCCTCGTCGATCTTGATTGTTCCGCCCTCGGCCGGTGGGTTCGGTGCGCAGTTGCGCGACATACATGCGTGTATACACGGGTTCTCTCTTCGGAGGCTCTGGGGCATGCACGGGCGTCAGAAGTGTCAGGCTGCATCTCCTCGCCAGGTAGTCCTTCTTGAACGCTTCGAAGTCCCAGCCGGTCGCCTCGTGGTTCGGTGCGCTGAGGCCGTTGAGGTTTCGGGCGGGGTCGGGCCGTCTGCGCGTGTCGCATGCGATCCCGCCTGATCGTCGTCGTCTGTCATGTCGGCCCACCGTCGGCTGCTTTCGGGCTGCATGATGGCTTCACCTGCAGGGGCGGGGGGGGGGGGCGAACCGTGACTGCTCTTTCTCTCTTACTGTCGGAAGCAGCTTCGGCCTAGATGGTTCTTCAGGAAGCGGATTTCTGCTTTGGAGGCTCGATCACGAATTGGGCTGCGGTGCCGGGTTAAGGTTGGTGTGCTCTTGCTGCACGCACGATGTCAGCGTCGTTGGCTTGCTGCTTGCAGCCGAATCCTCTTTTTCCTTCTGCTGCTTTAGCTGCCAGTCGCGATGCTCTTTCGCAGCCGGCGCACGGCAGAGGTTGTGTGAAACGAACGACTCTTTCCCAGCTCTGTGCTGTCAGCATGTCTCACATGTCATGGGAAAGGACCAACGTGAGCAGTGGCCCGTCTGACGTCTTGCGCATTGCTTGGTTGCGAGTCCGCAGGCGGCCCCGGGCTGAGGAGCCTTGTCGGGTTCGCCGCTCGGGTATGCGCCCCGGTCAGCGGAGATGTCGTGTGCGCTGTGGGCGTGGTCGCTTCGCCTCTGGCCGCTAGTATGCATTCTATTATCGTTGCTGGTGCCTTGTGCAGCGCAGCTCGGTCCAGGGCGGCAAGCTCGTCGAAGGTGAGATTCGGATCGGCCTTGGCGTGGAGGAGTGCTTGGGTGGCGGCGACGGAGCCGCTTCTGACTGCGAGGTTTAAGGCTGTGCACTGACTCTCGGCATTGGTTACGAGACAGGACTCACCTTCCAGGAGGTGTCGGCCGACGCGTGCATTTGCTGGGCATCGCATTTCTAGTAGCCAGCACACGTTGCGGGCGTTGCCTGTGCAAGCTGCACTGCACAGGCTTGCGGTGAGGACCTGCATTCCGGGGGTGCTGTCGCTTACATATTCTAAGGGGATGGCACTTTTGTTCGCTGCCGCTCGCGCGACTTGCTGCATGCACTCCGGGTCTGAGTGAGCTGCTGCTGCGCAGGCTAGGGCCACGAGGGTTGCTAGGCTTCGAGGGTTGGCTCCGTAGGACCAGTCTGGGTGGCTTGGGTTTTGGGCCCAGCTGGTCGGGTCCTCGAGCATTCGCGTGGGATCGGCTCGGGCTGCCAGCAGCATCGTGATCTTGCCTGGATGTGGACGGCCCTGTAGCAGGTTTTCGGGGTGGTCGTGGCATGCTATGTCCAGGGGCCGCCAGGGATCCGCGGAGCCGCCCAGGTCGGCCCGGTGCTTTAGGAGCGTCTCCACGTGGCTGCTTGGCGCATATCTCACGGCGAGGGCCAGCACGTCTTTGTTTTCGGGTCGGTCCAGTTTTGCTTTGGCTTCCAGCAACGTTCGTAGGGCAGGCAGCGACCAGGGTCTGTTCTGGTTCAGCATGAGAAGTTCCAGTCCCGAAGTCGGCGTCGGGTAGAATTGCTGGAAGACGGTGTTGGGGTCCAGTGGCCGCCAAAGTATTTTTTTCAGCTTCGAGGTGTTTCTGTTCCACAGGGCCAAGCGGAAGTCTTCCGACTCCCTCGAGCCGTCGTGTATCTGGACGTAGGGCAGGAAGACGGCCTGCACGGTTGATGTGGCATCGATGCGTAGTCTCCCGCCCTGCAGCCTTCGTCCGGCGTGCAGTAGCCTTATGGTCTGCTTCGGTGCCGGCGTGGCGCAGCAGTACTCCCCTACGTACGTCGCCAGCTTCCTTGCTGTCCGATGCCGCCGTGCGTCTGTTTCGCCCAGGAGTTCTCCACTCAGCATGGTGATGCGCAAAGGCCCTGGCGACGATGCTTTCTTCAGTGTTCGTCGTGCAAACGGCCCCGGTCTGGGAGTCTTCGTCCTCGCAGCATCGGCCATGGCGTGTCCGGGGTGCTCTGCGGTTGTAGGCACCCGCGTGCTTTAGGGTGACCGGCCCTCCGTATGTTTGTGGGACATGCTCGCTACAGGTGCTGCTATGCGTGTGAGTACATCGTTCCTGTGGCTTTGCCGTCGTGCCGGGTTGCTTGTCGTTGAGCTGTGAGCCTGTTGCCGCCTTGCTGACTTGCTGCTGGCGAATGGTGGCCGCGGCCCGAGGTGTCCGGTCGCGCTCTTGCCTGGGCCGGCTGACATATGACTGCGAGCAGGCCTGCGTGCGTCTGGTCGTGCAGCGGCTCCAAGTCTGGCTTGTGCGGTTCGGCGAGTGCTTTGGCGCCTATGCTGGGCATGACCGTGCGCCTGCTGCCGGCTCTCCCCTTTTTGCCTTGCTGCGGCTCTTCTGGTCTCCGGGGGTGCTGTACATCGTGCGCTTGCCGCTCGGTCCCCTAGTGTAGCTGGTGCTCGAGACGCTGGTGCTCGGCCGGCCTGTGCACACGGCACCTACTGCCTTTCACTTACGTCTACGAGTCGATGCACGTGGCCCGGGCTTGGGGCTCGGCGGCCTTTTCGGTTTCCGGCGGCTGGCTTCCTTCCAGTGGACGACAACTTCCACGTGTGCCATCTGGGCGGTGATGCTGTGCTCGAGGATGTTGCTCCAGCTCCAGTCGTCTGTGATCACGTTCCCGTCTAACATCAGCTTGGTGGCATGCAGGTCGATCGGCCCGGTGCTGCTGCTGTCCAGGTCGTGGAGCAGGACTTCTCGGGGGCTGCGATGCCGTAGCACCTCTGCGGGCGAGGGCTTGTTGGTGTGCTGCCGTATTGTGCGTAGCTCCTGGAGGGATAGAAACCGGTCCCGATGGTTCCCTGGTTGCAAGGGGGCCTGCTCGCGAAAACGGTAGCTTGGGTAGGGTCTCGAGGTGTGGAGTTCACCGCCTTTTGCGTCCGTGTAGGTCACCGTCATGTTCGGCATGATTGCGTCCTCGAAGCTCTGGATGTCTTCGTCGGTCTGTCTCTGCATCTTCTTGCGGCTGCTCTCCATTTCCGAGTTCTCGTAGTCGTCCGTGAAGCACACCTGGTCGGAGTCGCGGGTGGAGGGGTTCGAGGAGGGGGATTCCTCGTCCATGTCGTCGGACATCCTGGTCGTGGCGGTCGGCCTCAGGAGCACCGGTTGCTGGACGCCCGCCGCGTTTCATCTGCGGCGACGTGCGCGTGCTGAGGTCTGCGCGGGAGCACGGGCGAGCGCAACCGTTCGAGAGAAGATGCTGCGGCGGCCGCGTGCGAGGAGATGCTGTTGGGGCGGGATGTGTTGGGCATTCGTGCAAGGCTACCTCGCTGGCATGCTAGCCGGGTCTGTTTGGGGTTCGACCTGTGCGCTGTTTTCCTTCTGCCATCCCTCGCCATGGTCTTTGCAGCGAATCGTGCCCGCTGGCTCGTGCGGGTCCGTGTTCTGCCTGGGCGGGTGCCCTGCATGCCGATCCAGCCCGTCCCGCAGCTTGCTAGCCAGCCAGCCAGCCAGCCAGCCAGCCAGGCACGGTTTTTTCGGTGTCGCATGTAGGCTCTCCGTTCAGTCTGTCCCCCACGGTCTCGGCCGCGACCTGTGCTGCTTTTGCTTGTCTGCAAAAGCGATCGGCCTCCTGGTGTCGTGTCTGCTTTGGAGCTGCTATTGTACCGCATGGGCGATGCTGATGGCCGGTGTCGGCGCTGAGGAGCTGTGCTCGCGGTCGGTCTGGGCGGTCGGTGTGAGTTTCGCCGCTTCCTTGTTTGCCTGGTTGCGGCGCCATAGTTGTTGGTCTGCAAGTGCTTCCTGCATGTTTCTTCTGCCTGCGTTCCGAGTGCTCTCTGGAAAAGGAGCTTTGCTGTTGATGTGGGCATCGCGTCCGGGTTTCCCGGCTCCGCTAGCAGCGGGTTGCAGCGGGCCTGGAGGAGCATCATCACGTTTGTCGTATGACCTCCCCATGCGGCCAGGGCGAGCGGTCTGCGTCGGTTGGCGTTCGGGGCTTCCATGTCGGCCCTGGCATTCAAGAGCTTGCGTACTATCGCGGTACTGCTCTTGCGTGCTGCTGCTGCGAGGGCCGTTGTACCATTGCGGTTGCGCGTTTCCAAGTGGCAGCGGGCTGCGATCAAGAGCTCCACTGTCCCTTCTTGTTGTCGCTGTGCTGCCTGCAGCAGCAGGCCGTGGTCTTCGTCCGTGTTGGCGTTGACCCGAGCTTCGAGCAGGAGTTTCATGTTTTCCGTGCGATTTGCTTTGGTTGCGGCTTGCAGGGGCGTCGTCGTGGGGAACGTCTTGATGCAGTTCGGGTCCAGCGGGCGGCTCAGGAGTTGCTCTAGCCTGAACGTGTTGGAGCTTCGTGCGGCCGCGATCATTTCTGCCGTGGTTTTGTGGTCGGCCTGGGTGTACTGTAGTTTGATCATCTGCAGGTCGGCGGGGGCGGATATGAGAGCCTCGTCGTCCAGGGGACCGTCTGGCCCCAGCAGTTTCTGCCGAAAGCGTGGGAGTCCTGTCTCTCTCTGTAGCCGGCCTTTGACCACTCGCGCTTGTTCCGGCGCCTCGAGCGTGGCTTCCAGCAGTTGTTGACCGGCAAGATTGACCACGCGTAGGAGAAGGAGCTCCTGGCTTTTCCGCTTCGTGGAGCCTACGCTTGCGTCCTCTGAGGGCTGCAAGGCCATGGCCGCCGATCGCTTCCGCTCGGATTCGAGCCCTGTTGCTTGCGGCATTGTTTGGGGCGTCGAGGGCTCTTGGTGTGCCTGTCCGCCAGCTCTTCGTCGTGCGGTTCGTGCTCGCCTCCGTCCTATCTTTCTTGCATGCGGTGCTCCTGTGACCACGCTCGCACTTTTTCCCTCCTTTTGGCGCCCGAGGCTTGCGAGTGTCCGGCACTAGTCTGTGTGTTCGTCCCGCACGTTGTCGTGCACCCTGCTTCTGTCCTTTACGAGGTCTGCGATCTCCTTGTCTAGTAGCTCGACCTGCTGCACCCACGGTTCCTGGCCGTTGTCGGGGTGCGTTCCAACGATGTACATCTCTGTCACGATCTTCCGGTAGTGCCTCTGCAGGATCCATCGGTACATGTTGAGCTGCAGGTGGTAGTGGGTGAGGCTGCTGTCGCCCAGGTGCTGCAGAGGGGGTTTCATGTAGCGGTTGAAGTGCTCTCCTCGGCTTGCTATTCTGCTGCTCCGCTTCCAATCCACGAGAGCCAGGCTGCCGTCGGCCTGCTGTAGGACGAGGTCGATGCTGCCGGCTACGTCGATGTCGTCGGCGTAGATCTTCCATTCCGTTCTGTAGGCCGTCGCGTGTCGCACGCTGTCTAGGAACTTGAAGAGCAGGCTTATCTCCGGTGTCATCGCCTTGACAGTCCCTCCGTTCAGCAGGCACTCGAACTGGGCGTGCATCCACGTCCCTTCTTTGGCTGCTTTGTCGCGGGCGGCTTCCCATTTTCGTTTCACGTCGTCACTCGGCATAGCGAGGGCGCGCAGCGCGGCTGCGTGTGGCGGGCCTGCCTGCTGGAGGGCCTCCTGCAGTTCTCGGTCCAGTTCCCCGTCGTCCTGGTCGCTCTGTTCGAGCATCGCCAGGATGCGGGGGCCCCTGGCCAGTTGGCCGATCTTGTCTCTCACGTCCGGTGGCGGGGTGATGCTGAGGTAGCCGGCTCTGGGCCAGTGGGCGCCTTCCATCATGTTTTGGAGCGTCTTGTCCGCGTCGAATCCCGCGGCGTATCCGTGGATTACCTGCGTCACGGACTCTCGCACGCGTCTGGTCTTCCAGAAGTAGGTGTGTGTTGTCTCGTCGAAGCGAAGGTTCACATCTCTCGTGTGGGCGTTCACGTGCTGGAGCCTGTCCGCAACGAAGTTGCCTGGTAGGTCTGGCGGCAATGGTCCTTCTCCGCGAGCTGGGAAGTCTGTCGGTGCGTTTGGGCTTCTGACCAGGTTGAGCGGCAGCAGGTGATCTAGGCCCTCGGTGAGCAGGCTGACCTTGTGCTCTTCGTGCTGGGGCTCCGCGTCTGCGTTCTCCGTCTCCGTGCTGGACTGCTCGTGGCAGGGGACGTCGGCCTCCATGTGCTTTGCGTGGGCGATTGTACGGTGGGGCCGTGGTGGCGTGGCAGTGCGCGGAGCTTATGGCGGCGGCGGCGGTGCTGGGTGGTGCCGTCGCCTGGCAGGCCTCCTAGCTACGGTGTCTTTGCGTCGAGGGCGCGGCTGCCTAGGTCTTATTCTGGCCCTGGCGCTGTCATGCGTGCGGCGCCCTTCCTCTGCTGGCCCTGCATCCTGCCCCGCGGCCGCCCTTTTTTCTGTCTCTCGCGTGCTGTTGCCCATTACTGTACAGTCTGCGCTAGCTCTCAGGGGTCTGTGCCGGCGCTAGACTCGGTGCAGGCTTATGCTGGGTTTTTGCCCGGGGCAGCCGTCGTGCTCGTAGTTCAGCATGATGGGGACGTAGCACGGGATGCTGTAGGATTGCGGCGTTGGCCGGGCTTGCGAGCTTTGCGGTTGGGGCGGGCCGTCTGCTGCCAGCGGCTGTGCCCGATCCCCTTCTGCTCTGGCGCTGCTTGCTGGTTGTGGTGGCGCTAGTACTGGCTGCCACTTGTAGACGAGCTCGAACCAGGTTCGACACGGGAAGCGGTGGTAGCGGCATCGTTCTTTGAGGGTGTCCTGCCACCACTTGAGCTGTTCTTGCTCCAGCTCGTGGTACATGACTGCCTGGACGAATTGCTGGACTTCTTCGTGTAGGCTGTAGTAGTAGGCTTGCCCGTCAGGTTGCTGCGGCTCGCCTTCGGTCGCAGCAGGCGCGGTGTTTCTGGGGCTTGGCGCTGGGCTTCTGAGGCCGATGCTATATGCAGGGTCCTGAGGCAGGGGCTCCGTGCCGCGTCGGCGCCGGCCGCGAAGTGTTGGATTGGGATCGTCTGGTGTTGCGTGGCGTCGGAAAAGGTCCTGGTGGCGTTCCTGAGGCTCGAGCAGACAGAGATGCGTTCGCTCTCAGGGGCCGCCTCTCGCCTGAGAGCCTTGCCGCTGCTGGCTCTCTT